GAGTAAGCAGAGGGTGGAGTTGGGCTGGATCAAGTATTCAGAGCAAGCAAGGCAGAGAGTGGAACAAGTGCTCTAAGCAAGCAACTAATGTGTGAGGGGCCAGCAAGAAGAAAAAAGATCATGATCCAGACAGTAAGCAAGGATAGCAATAGGTTTGAAGAGCCAAAGACTAGAGCAAAAAAAATTGTGATAGTGTGTAGAAGAGAATCGTACTGATAACGTGTTGAGAATGTTTAGAAAGACACAAGAGTAGTAGTAAGTCATACACACACAAGAGTAGTAGTAAGTCATACACACAAGAGGGTTTCTAAGAAGAAAGAGCTTCACACACACCTCTATTGATCTGGTTGTGTTTCGTATACAAGAAGAGAGAAGATAAGAGGATGAACAGTACTTCTCCACTAGACTCTAAATATTGTAACTATGGTAATTACTGTAGTCTACAGTAAATATTATGGAGAGTGTCGGTTACATTTAATGATCTCAACAGTGTTCAAAGCATCGCTGTGGTCGCTTTGCTTTTTTTTTGTTTTTTTTTTCGCTTCCTCGAGCTCCTTGAGCTTGTCAATACTCAGAGCTCAGTTCCTGATGAGCTTGTCAATACTCAGAGCTCAGTTGTTGATGAGACTGATTCCTCGTGCCGCAATCAGCAGCCTGAAGCATTTCTATTGTGGGTGAAGTGAAGGGCTTGGAAACCCCCCCCCCCCTTGAGTTTGCGGCTCTCTGTGGAAAGCCATCACCAGAATAGAAGTAGCTCTGTTTATAGCTCAACATTGCAATCAGTGAGCTCGCAAAGGCAGCGATCTCTCGGAATTGCCGAGCATGAACGAAATTAGTTATTATCGACCCAATGTCGAAAAGTAGTTGCGCTTCGACCTGAGCCGTTCTCCTTAATTGGTTGGTGCCCACCAGATTAGCGTTTGTTGTTTGTGCGATTGAGCCATTTTTAGGGCCAGGATTTTGATCTGGAACCAGAGTTTTCCATGTGCTTTGTTGTACCTTGTGCTTGTTCGTCGCTTCGGAATGTGTTGTGAAGCGGTTGAGCTCCCAGCGGGCTTCCACCGCGACACTGTGAGGCTCCTGACCTAGGCTACGAAGTTTCGAGGCGTGGGTGATTAGGGTTATTTATTTACTTGTTTTTTTTTGGTTTTACTCATTCTCTGTCTAAAGATAATTTAGCAGCCAATTTAGAAATTGACACAATGCTGTGCTGTAGCTCGACTAGAGTTTTTTCCATTTTGACGTCAGTAATAATGCACTGGCACGATGGGTTCTGATTATGCTCGCGGAACTGTTCTTCCTTAAGTTTGGGGAGGTAGAGATCCATGACTTATTTGCGGCATGCTTGAGGGATAGTTTTTTTTTCTTCTTCCTTTTTTTTTTTTTTTTTTTAAATCTTCGCTCTACACATGGCTTCACAGCATTAGATCACCAGGATTAACAATTCATTTTTCCAGATCCATCACTGGAGCCCAAAGGGCAGAATTATTGCCTACTCTAGTGTCTCCACACATTGTAGCACCTCAAGACCTGCTGCTGTTGTGTGGGTGTATTTAATACCTACTTTTGTGTGATTCTTCGGAAGCCAATTTTCTCTTTCTACTGCTTGGGAAGTGTTGAAGAGAAGCTTGTTTCTATGGAGTCTTTCAAACCCTAATTCTCGGGTTTTACTTTGTGGTGGTACGATTCAAGAGAAAATCAAGACTTTTGAATAGTTTGTTTTGTTCACTTTAACATCTATATTTCTTCTATGAACATCTATAATGTGGAAAAAGAGAAAAAGATATAGAACAAAGAAACTATACTCATGATACTATTTAAATATACAACTTGTTTTATTATTTCACTATAAAAATTATAGTTAGTTTCAAATGTAATTATTTATATATTTTATATACTTATAATTAATTAAATAATAAAACAACTTGAATTTGATAATAATAAAAATACAAAATATGTTTATAAATGTTGTTTTCTTACCATATAATTTTTTGGAACCTAAATTTATTAAATATTATATTTTTTATTGTGCTTATATGCTTTGTCCAACACTTAATTCTTCAATTGTATAAAAAGCAGATTTTTTTGTTTTTCTATCAAATAAAATCTAAATTTTTATAATATTTTTGAATGATAATAATAATAATAATATATTTCTATTTTTTTATATATTTTAAATTTTAAGAAAGATGTTTTTTCTGATATGAGATGTATTTATAAATAAAACATTTTTTTTACAAAAAATAAAACTACTATTTTTAATTTTTTGAATTTGTCAAATTAAAATTATAAGATATCATACTCAAATCTAATAAGATGCATTCTTTTAAATGACAATATATTAAATTTATTACAATTCTTTTTTTTTTTTTTTAATATAATTTTGTATTTATGTACTTATGTATGTATGTGTTCAATAATTAATATGAACATAAAATACAATCTACAAATTTTTCATTAATAACTAATTTTAATACTAATTTTTATTTTATTTTATAAGATATAAGAAAAATAAAATTTTATCAACATCATCTAAGTTTTTGTTCTAAGGATAAGGTCTAGTTTACCAATATAAATTTTCTAATTTTATTATGTTTTTATTTTGAAATACACATGTCATCACGGTAAGGAATGTAATAATGTATGTATAGTAATTTTTTAATATTACATTGATTCTCATGCATTTTTATTTTATTTTAAAATTGATATTCTTGGATTAAAACTCTTTTACAATGATAAATATATCAATACCATTTTAGGCAGGTGTGGTTACTTTGGACAGATAACAATGCTACATTCCCAATTGATATTGCTATACCCTTTGTGACCACCACACAACTTAAATTGAGTAAAAAGTGTGCTTCTACACTTAGGATGGATTTAGCAGCCCAATATTTAACTCCAATCTTGATCCAAAAATAGAATAAACTAAAAAAAATAAAATTTTGAATTAAACAAATTTTAAGACTAATAATCTATTTTTTGAAAAAATAGCTCACAACCTATTTTTTTTTTTTTATAAAATATTCATTGTCTCTCTTTTAACTATCACCCTTTCTTAAAGCAAAGAAATAAAAAATGCTCAAAAGAAAGAAGAATATTATTAGCTAGTTGTCTACAAGGAGATCTTAGGGATGTAGCAATATCAATTGGAGATGTAGCAATAACAATTATATATATATATATATATATATATATATAAATTTAATTATTTTTTTGAAATAAAACATGATTTTTAATTTATTATTATTTATAATTTAAGAAAAAATAAATATTAAAAATAAATATTCTTTAAAAGTATATAATCATCTTTATTAAATTTTAAAAAAGTATATTGGCTATAGTAAACCTTTATAATAAGAAAATAGATGATTAAAAAAATACTTAATTTCATTTCAAAATTTTATATATAAATATAGGATTAAATTTTAAGATTAGTATAAATACAAGTAGGATTAAAAATAATTATTTTATTTATATTAAAATATATCTTTTTTTGGATTATATTAAACTTAATATTTTAATAGATAAAATATTAAAATTTAATATTAAATATTTGATAGTTCTTTAAAAAAATAGAATTTTTAATATAATTATAGAAATCAAATATTTAAAATAATTCTTATAGTAATAAAAGAGAGAACATTGAAAGAAAGAAATAACTAATAGGACTACTAAATATATGCGTTATAGAAATGAGGTGAATGTATTAAGCCTTGCATTTATTTATTTATATTTTACTTTTAATATAAAAGAAATTACTTTGCATAGTGCAATAAGTGCAATCTACTTTGATTTTTTTTAATCATTAAATACAAAGCATATATGTCATGACTAGTAGTGTTATGAATATATCTATTAAGCTACATTTTAGTCAACATAAGAACTTGCATAAATCAATTTGAGTTTGAAATTTGTTTCTATTAGGAACCACCATTTTTTATCCATGACATGTTGCTAGATGCACCATGTATAGAAATGCTCCAGCATTCTACAACTAATTATTGTAGGTACATGATATTTTATATATATATATATACATATATATACATAGATGAAAAATAATAATTAAAATGTATACGAATGAATTGATTGATTTCCTTTAATTTAATGATGAAGATTTTAAAACTATATCTACATATAAGAACCTTTAATATGTTGTATATCAAAATCAAATATATCTATCACAAAAAATATTTACATTCTATAAATTAGGACACCAATTTGAGATATATATATGTATATATATATATATATATATATACATAATTCAACCATTTTCTTTCTCTACAAACCATTGTAGTTTTTTTTTGCTTGATCAAAGTAAGGGGATAAAATTTAACTAGTAACCGTCAATGAGACCTTAAATTTATATATCTTAGTACTGGATTATTAACTTATTTTTTTTGTATTATTCTTTGAATATACTCATGACCAGTTTGAATTACTGAAACATGGAAGCAAAGTAACCAATCTACAAATATCGTGTATTGTTAAGAATATAAATGTATTTTTCCGAAAAGAATGGTAAAATATTTTCATTAAGAATAGCTTCCATTCACTGAAGGAAATTTTCAGGAAAAACAAATTCTACTCACATGGATTGATGGATACATAGGTAGACACTGATCATGATCAGTGTGAGAAAACAGCTACGAAACGTTAACATGAATTTGAAGCTGTGGATGTCAGTTCGTGCGGAAAAACAGTCACCGGATCGAAGCTGATAGAAGTCAGGATGCCATCGTTATGCATGAATCTAGTGCTTCTTTCGCGCGACGCATTGCGAAGGTCGCCGACCTCGACCAGATTCAGTATCAGTTGTCGTCGTTGTTGTTGTTCGATCACAATCTCTGCGGAGGAGGCTTCGACGCACGTCGAGAACGACGCGGTCAAAGCAGACCAGGAGACTGCGGAACCGGAAGAAAGTTGTCCTAATGACGGTGGTGGAAGCCTGCTTCCAATATTAGGACGCCAGTCCCGACGAATCCTTCAACGATGCCCATTTGAATGTCGAAGGACCTCCATCAGTAGCTCGGTTCTCGATCCCACACTATACGAAACGCACAAGGCGCTGGAGTACTCTGTAGCTTTGTGAGCGATCGGGCGCTGAATCCGACACAGACGCCGAGGTCACTGTCATCTGAAGCTTGAACTTCGGCGTCCAAGAGGATGACATTTTCAAGTGCCGGGATCATCATTTGTGGGGCTCGGTCAACCCCATGCAAGATACGAGTTTTCTATGTGGGTTTTGTACTTCGTGGTCTTCTCGCCGCACTTCAATCAATTTGCTTATAGAGATGCGAGTGGAGTCCCCACCGGTCCTGCACACCTCAGCCTGTCCCGCAGCTTTCCTCCCTCGCATCCCAGTCATTGGGTTCTCTCCAGGTTTTCGGCTCCATGATTGCCGTTTATCTCCGCTGGTCCTTGACTGGAGCTGGAAGGTAAGTGCGAGCCTTGGACGTTCGAGTAGTGATATCCTGCAGTATCTGATTCTACACAGTTTGATGCTTTGATTTTTGGTTTCAATCTAGTGTGTTGGTATTCTTTGAGATTCAACTAGACAGAGGTTCGTCTACGTTGCATGTAGGTCTCCAGGCCATCCTGATTCCGTGCAAAGTCTGCTTGCCTCTCGGCTCTTTTAGTCTTCGCGGGTTTAGTGAAGGTTTGCTTCTTCTCCGCAGTCTGAGCGTTCAGTAATATGTAGAGGTTGAGCTGTTGGAGCAGTTAGTAATGCTGTCTTCGTAATTGCGCTTTAATTTAGCTACTCTTTTTCGAAACGAGACTCTCCTAATGCAGGACGAAACTAGAGCAGATTCGTCCTCACCATATGGCTGAGTGCAGCCTCTGTTGAACGTTTCCTTCCCCTTCATGCTCGTCGTGGTGATGGCCTGATACCTCCTTCTGTGAGCTCTACAATCATCGCTCTCACATTCCCGTCTAACAAGAATTCAAGCGGAGCTCTAATCTCAAGAGTCCACGACAAGTTTTTCCCCTTCACGTAATCTACAATTATTAAGGCCTGTCAAGTTTCGAGTGCTGCAATTCAACTAGGTCAGTGCCATTCCTCCCGTTTTTGTGCTTATCTGGTTTGGTGCCGCATATGAGCAACATTCGTGTTCCTGATGCTTTGCGGAATAGTTTATTTAGGAATCTTGACCCACCTCTCATTGTGATCCTCGTGAATTTTTTAGTTATGGAACGCGAGACCGAACTAACTCAGTCATGGAACTCTGAGATCACACGCGTGGACGAAAATGGAGGGGTGCTCCAAGGCATACCCCTTCTTGTGGGCGGGGAAATGCGAACCTTCAGCTTGCCTGCACCCCTCGATGATGACGGAACCGATGTCTCTCTCAAGGATTGGCAAGTAGGTCCCGGAGGTAACTCCACGGACCGCGAGCGCAGGGGAGTTTACCCCATCAAACCATTCAAAGGCAGCGTACGCATGCGGTTCACACCGATGGAGCCTAGGCTAGATGAGGATCAATATAGTTCTCAGGGGCAGTCCTCGCCCGAGCTCTTCGAAACCCCCACGACGCCCCGCACACCGCGAGCATCGTCAACTGGAACACGGAGCAACTCAGCCTCGCCGACGAAGTCTTTCCGGCATCAGGGAAACCCACCTGGAATTAATTTTCAGTCGCTGCAACCAGAAACTCCATCTGGAGAATCTGATTTTTCGCCAAACAGGGATGCTCACCACCAACAGCAGAACATCACCTCAATTGACGTCAGCGAGACTTCTTCCCCTCGAACGTCGGGAATGGCATTCGATGCCTGCATTGATGGAATAAGTCCAGACGAAGTAACACCCGAGAACGCCAATCTCCGCTGCCGATCACAGCGCGGAAGCTCACGGGGGAATTCATTGCGGGTCTCTTTTGTGGAGAAGACCGAGGTTGCACCTGAGCCACGTCCAAGCCCCCCGATAAAGATTCGACACACGTTGAAGAGTAGGTCGCTTCGGGAGCCAAAGGAGGTGAAGATCTCGCAACCGAAATGGGAAAGCTCCACCAAGATCAGCTCCCACCCGACACCCTCTCCAACGCCGAAGCCGACTGTGCATGCACCTAAGCATGGGGTGCGACCACGGAAATCATCAACTCCTGGTGCCAAACCTCGAGCGCACTCTCAGCCAACCCCTGAGATTGTGCCAGAGCCTCACAGCAATCTCTACTCGTCGGCGGGGAGAAGCTTTGGCTCGCAGCGTCACTCGAGAAGGTCCCCAGACTCCCAGCACTTCAGCGGTGAGAGCGACAAGCTGTATGACTCGTCGTCTCAGGAGCTGGGAACCTCCTCAAACGAATCTGGTCGAGAGAATGTGACGAGCTTGAAACCCAATTCGCCGTCCTATCGCGTCCGAAGCAATCGCAAGCAGCAGAATGGCCGTCAACAAGTGGACGACCCAGATGAGGTATCACAACACATCTCAATCACGTCTATGGATACAATGGCATCTAGACCAGAGTTACTACGCTTGTTGTTTTCGAGGTCGATCGCGTTTGGAAGGAAGCTCATCTGATCCGATTGAGTGCAGGATACGAAGGGGGTGATGTGCGGCGGCGGATTTGGTGACACCAAACTCAGCGCCGAGTTTGTTCGCCTTCTGAGCAAGCTCTGCCGCGTATCGATTCCCTCGCCGAAACAACCCGATTGTTTAAAACCGGCGCTTCAGCAAAGAGGACGCAGTCTTGAGAAGAGCAACTCAATGCCAGTTAAATGGGATCAGGCGAAGGATGTCTCGCCCATGCGGGAAAATTACGCTGTGATTGGGCGCCGTGACAGCCTGAGGCTACTGTCCGAGCGATGCTCGACTGCGCCGGCGCCTACTTACAGTGTGGACAAGCCTCGCAAGATTCGAACGCACGGGCCTCACATCCACTTCTACAAATCCATCTCCAAGAATCTCGACCTCAAACTGAGGTCTGCCACCCTTTCCTTCCACACTTGAGTCCACACATCTTCATGTGATCTTACACATCACGCTGTTGCACATCAAAGTTTGCATTCCAGCTGGATAGTCTTTAACTTGCAACATTCACATTCTGAGAACTCGTCACCATGCTCCACCATACTAACGGGTTTCAGTCGTTAGATCTGCAACTTTTCTGTTGAAAATCTCGAGGGTCCACCTCTGAAACCTGTCGTGGAGGACTGACTGCTTTTAAATGTTATGATATCATTCAAGTAATTCATGTCATACTTGTAGCTTTTTTGTCTGATAATTTAATCTGGCCTTCTCTCTCTTTTCAGGAGCTAGGACGGTGATGGCGAGACTCAAGTAATCTCGGTGCTTGCTCAAATGGGTACTACGCAAGAAAGCCCGTCAATAAACAGCCAAATTCAGCAACCGAAATGGATGCTTAAGGTGTAGTCACTCATTGGACTTATCTACAACTTCGTCATTTGGAGGCGGCCAGATATGTCTTGAAGCATCATATATCATGTCATACAATCCATAAACAAAAAAGAGTGACGTGTACATATATTCCCTGGTGAGGCGCCCCCTCAAACATGTTAATCTCAGTTGTGATCGCTGAATCCGTTTTCTTTGATGAGTCTAAAGAAAACAAATTCTGTTTTGATCCTCCATGAGAACCCATTTCTCATAAGAGAGGCTTCCTGCAGACTAGCTGCAATATCGGTGTATAAATTATATAGGAATCTGTAAGCTGGAGAGAGGCTTACAGATTAGAGTTGGATTAGGGTTACAAGCCCCTTTGAACTGCACTTGGTTTAGGGTTTCGGAGGACGCTTCAGTCGTTGTATTCTACTTTCTGGGACAAACTGAAAATATGTTTGTTCAAAATTCTACCAATCATTCTCGAATGGGTGTTCTTGTAAACGTTTTTTTTGTAAGACTGATTCAATCTTAGAAAGAATAAATTATGGCTTTGGAGGTTTTGGTCTAATGGTATAATGTCAATGAGCAGTAGATTCCACCACAAATATAATAAAAACACTATTTTTTACTTGAGTAAATGATACTAGAGTACTGAATGAATGAATAAATGAATATATTGTTTAATTTGGACTATTCTTTCAATCATTCTTCTTATTGTATAACTTTTTAAATTTCAGTTTAAAATAAAATTCCCTAAGAACTGTTGGGTGGTCACCCCCCTTTTTACTTTGTACACATTTTTGTGCCATGCATCCCTACATACACACAATAAAACTCTTATTTCCAATAAAAAAAAGTTTTAAGATAAATTTACAATAAAATATTTTTAAAATGATAAAATTAAATATAAAAATACGATTAAAAAAAATTCAATCAATAAATCATATTTAAAAATAAAATATCAAAAAATCAATTAATTCTACAACTTCAATGTTTTAATACTAACCAAATAGATTGCATAAACATGTTACTTTTAAATGCAATTAGATCAAATAAATAACATTATATATATATATATATATATATATATATATATATATACAAGAAATTATATTGAATATTAAATAATTTTAAAATAATAATATAGAACCATGATATAATTTTATATTGTCTAGCATTTTAATATAGTTGATATTTTAATATTAAATGTATTTGACAATAGACATTTTGGAAATTTTTATTTTTCATTATTTTAATAGAAATAAAAAAGTCTCAAATTTTTAATAGGTTTTAACATTCGCTTGCAAATAGAAAAAAAATCTTTATTTTATGACCATATTGAGGTGGATTTTAAAATTTTTAATTGCATTGATTAATTTAGGGAATTTTTGGGTGGAAACCCCTCTTTAACAAGTAGATATCCTTGTATCATGTATCTTTGCATATACACAATAAAACTCTTATTTATACTAAAACATTTTAGTACAAATTTATAATAAAATACTTATGTGCAATGGTGTATGGGGGGTTTTCTTTTTATTAAATTATATAGAATATCATATTACATTCCATGTAATTCTTTTATTTATTTTAAAGTTCTTAATAATTTCATTTAAAGAATATATAACTGTAAATTTATTACTAGTTTGTTACAATAGTCTATTATACTTGAATTCGGACAATATCTATATTAGCATGCATTTTGATAAAATCAATTTTTGTACATAGTTATAAAATTAATATTTTTAATTTTTGCTATTAGATCCTACCATTAAATCTAATTTATGTATTTTTAAAATTTTATTACTTACTTAATAATTGATAATTAATCACCAATAAAAAATCATTGTCATATGAATAGAAAAAACCATAAATAATTTTCTACACAAGTGATAAAGCTTCATTCTTATAGAATTTATATTATAATTTTTTTATATTGTTTTTGGATAAATTGATATTTACCATAAAAGAAAAGTTTAGCAATATTTGGTTTTAATATGTAAATTATTGTAAATAAATAAATTCAACAAATCTTTATTATATGTCTTTTATATGTCTTTATAAAATAAATGGTTATTTTTTAATTAAATCCAGACAGTAGTTATATATTTTATTTAAAATATGTAAATTATTTTATTTATATAATCTAAAAATCATCTTTACTAACATTGCAATAATAATAATTATTTTATGATATCCATTTTAGTTTTTTAAAACATTTTTGTTTCTTTGATTTAATCCATGTTTGTGTATAGTAATAAAATTATATATTTTTATTGAACATATATTATTAACTCATTTTTGGTTTTTTTTAGTTAATTCTTAACAACTTTTTAGTTAGATAAATTCTTATATCCTCTTTAAAAATTTGAAATAATAGATTAGAAGATTGAAATCATGATCTTTCTTATATTTCAAGTTGTAGATTAAAAAATGGCTTTTAAATGGATTGCAAGCAAATAATGCATATAAGTAATGGTTGATTGTATCTACTTACTATAAATGTTATACATTCTTTTATAAAACTACTTATAAAAAATTAAATAGAATACAAAAATATTGGTTATAAAACAAAAAGATGAGAACTTCATTTTTATATCTATATAATGCTATATATATTATCCTTACAACAATAACAATTAAAAAAAAATATTGAATGAATAAAGAATAAATATTAAGTAAGAATCGATACATTAGATAATAAAAGTCTAACAAATTTTGATTCCAAAGATGTTGTTAAATCAAATATATTAGAAAAAATAATAAATAAAGTTAAGAGCATAATAAAGAACTCTCCTGAAGGTTTTCAAACTTGCACAACAATTCATTAGTATAAATGCAATATTAGTGAATGCATCAAAGAATCTTGTAAATATAATAAAGAAGGTCAAAGCTTTTCATCAACAACATCTATCAAAACTAAAATGAAGAATCAAGGAAATCTTTGATTTAAAAGAAAAGATGATGAATAAAGATTGCATTCAATCTTTTATCCTCGATTGTGATTTCTTTGTATTAGTGGCAATAACAGGATGAAAAATCAACAGCCAATAGATTCAACTCAAAAACTATTATTTATTGAGTTATCAAATGAAATGTTATGATTGTAACAATCTGTAACATAATGTAATAGAGTTGAAGATCTTCAAGAATGACATATTTTTCCTTGAATAGATGGCAAAATATAATACATATGATATCACAATCTTAAAAAAGACTCCCAATGTTTAGTAATTTTATTCAAGGTAAGAACAACTCCTAATGGTGTTATAAATGTTTTGATTGAAGGAAGTTATGAAGACCTAAAAAATTATCAAAAATCAAAGTAGTCTTCTCACTCTAGTATGAGACATTATCAATAGTTGAGAGGACCTATCAACTATTTCTAAAGGAAGCAAAGATCAAAGTATGTAACAAATATAATTTTTTTGTATCTTGAATTTCATCAACATGTGTTCACTAATCTTTGTAGAATTCATGCCTAAAAGAGAAGATATTATCATGAACATCTATATTTATTCTAATAATTATCTAGATGATATGAATAGGTAGAATTAAGTGAAAGTAGATTAATTTCATAATATTTTGTAGAATAACTTCTTAAAAACTTCATAAATATGGTTTCACTATCATACTATAATTTTTTATAATATATAAAAATTAATTAGGACATTTAATATGTTGATAAGTCTTCGTGTATGTTAGAATGGTTAATAGATTAATTTAAAGAGAGTGGATATAAAAAAATTTATTTTGAGTTTTATCTATTTTGATTATAGCATTTAAAAAAATTATAGGGCCTAAATGTTTAGTACAAAGCCTTGAGAGGAGATTAGAACCTAAAGAAGAAAATCTTAACTAATAGGAGGCTTATTGGGAAGGATGAAAGCAAGGCATGGTTGGATGAAGGCAAGGAATGGGGATCTTCATTCCTATTAGTCGAAGGCCATGCCCAATGGGCTTCAAAGAGGCCGCCCGAGGCCTTATTAGGGATTAAGATTTTTTTTGAAGTCATTTGAGCTTTGGAGGCTAGAGTCATCAATTTTAGGTTTTTGGGTATGGATTGGATGCAAATTTTGTGTGATTTTGAATTTTTATGAAGGAATTATTGGCGCTCAAATTTAAGGTATTAATTTCATACCTACTGTCACTCTTTGGGGCATAACATACGTTTACTGAAAGAAACGAAGAATCGGCGACTAGGGTTGAAGAGAGTACTTCTTTGACTATACTTTTCATATACTTTTTGATGAATTTGAAGTTTGGATGAAGAAGTTATAGAGAGTTAAAGTCAGCGCATCCAAATCAAAGGCAGTAAGTAAGTGATTTTATTCATAGTAATGATTGGAGCCATATCTTGAGTTTTTAGACGAATTTTTAGCTAAAACCTTTTGGAGAAGGTAGATTATTGTATTAAAAAGCTATAGATATAATTTTTTTGGCATTTGAGTACTTAGTTTGTGAGATATGAAGAAAATTACATGTAGATGTATAAAAACTAGGGTTTGAAGCTACTGTAAGGGTTTGGTGATATCTTATGACCCACAACAAATCTGTGGTTGAAATTTTTTGTGATAGTTTTTCAAAGTACATATGTACTTCTTGTAAAATTTGAGTGTATTTGGATAGTCCGATTGGAAGATATGAGTTTTTGAAGTTTGGGAATAATATCCCATAAGGATATTTAAGGATTTAGAGGTTTTATCATATTTTGGGTATTTTCGGGAACTTAAGACTTATATATTTGGTGTATTAGCACCCAGAAGTGTTATATGTATGTATAAAAACTTGGTCTTTCGTATCTCAAGACTTGATTGAGCAATTAGTGGCAGCCAGGAGCCTAGTGTTTTCTTGAGGTAAACTCTCTCTACCCCAACATCACCTTTATATATATTTAAAAGTGATTGATAGATTAAATACTTTTAAGGATGAAAATAAAGATGGGGTAGACCACTTGTGGTGGATTCTCATGAAAGAAATATCTTGGTGATATTTTTGAAGTATCAAGATGTCTTAAAGGAAGTAGGAGAAATACAAAGATATGATTGTTATGATTTTTGTATCTTTTGTTTTGGATAATAAAGATGATAGATTTTGAATCTTAGAAAAAAATCTATTGTAATTGATTAGAGTCTTTGATTAAAAAAATCTTTTAAAAAATTGTTTAAAACATGTATATCCACTTATTTATAAAATTTTAAGACAAAAAATAATCAAATCAAAGAGAAAAAAAGTGCTAAAGTAAAGGAGGTCCAACAAGTTTGTAAGTTAAGAGTAACAAATTTGAGGAGTAATTACTTGATATTTATAAGAGCTATAGTTATAAAACTTAAAATTTAGTTATTTTATTAAGTCAAATTTAATCTAATTACCAAATTTTAATATATTTTGACATTTGGTTTAAAAAATATGCACAAAAGAAAAACCAAGTATTAGATTGTGAAGAAAAAGTAGTGACTAAAAAATTAACTTAAAAAATTTGCTTGCTATAAATGATTTAAATATTCAATCATTTTAAAATTTAAAATATAAAAAAGAGATGAAATATATAATCTATTGATAAAGTTTTTAAAACATTCTACTAATTTTAATTGAGTTATACAAATCTAAAATAAGGTATGCTAGATTAGGTGCAAGTAAGGATTTGGTTGATAACTTAGTATATATATGTGCAAATGGGAAGATAGAAACTAACTTATATAAATAATAAAGATCTTCACAATAAGAAGCTTTGTACTTACCCAAATCAACAACAAATTTTTCAATAATGTCCCTAGAATCATGATTATTATCAAAAGTAACATAATTTGGAGTTCAATTTTAAGTAGATTAATTGTCATGCAATGCTCTCCAACATTTAAGAGATATGATGTTTGAACCATCTAATTAAGCTTAACTAATACCTTGTTGTCAGTACTAATAATTACATCTATTGTGACTATAATGCCAATAATGATGATTGTTAGAAAGATGGTGCTAAAAGGGCAATGCCATGTGGTGACATGACTATATAGTGAAAAATAAAAAAAATGGATGTTATCATAGAAGAACCTAATAGAAAGATGTAGTAAAAAAATAAGGATAAATGATTGAAAGGTAATAAAAAGTTTAGTCTTAATATTGCTTTTTATAGAAGAAACTTCTATTTATATTATAGAGGCATAAATGAGCCAAATTAAAATAAATGAAATAAGAAATTAATATAGGGATGTTTTAAAAAAATTTAATAATAGATTAAAATAAAAATTACCTCAAAATACCAGAAATTTATATCCAAAGAGATCCAGTTGTCAATCTAGAATAAAATCAGACTTTGAGGCACAAGACCACACACCTATGGCGATTCAAAGGTGCTTTTGTAAATCACAAAGTAAGATTTGAGAGCAAATTTAAAGAAAGATTTTTAAAAATTGGTTTTATATCATTTAGATTAATATTGATATTTTGAAGAATTTTCAAAGTTAATGATGTATTCAATAGATTTAGATTTTGAGAAATAAAAATAAATTTATGAATTTGAGAATTTCTTAAGTTTTGTAGCATATGTATGGATGAAAATTAGGCAATTTTTTTTTGTGCTTGTTATAAATGTGTGTGAAAAAATGAAGTCAATCAAGCAATTGGATTGAAGCATATGAAGGTTTTTGTGGGTTATGGTCTCAAAAATTTGAGATTTAGGATTAATGAATGATTCTAAGATCTAGCAATATCTATTAATTGGATTAAAATAAAATTTGGTGAAAAAAATTAAGACTCAAATATCTACACCGAACTTAATTTTTGAAGCAATTGAATTATTTAACAAGGAGAAATTGATGTTGAAAGATCAATATTTAAGTTGGAGAAGAAAGGCGATCAATAATTGAGAGGTTTTAGGAGCTTTGCTTCCTATTGGTATGTACGATCTTCTTCAATTTTTTTGTGCTTATTGTTTACTTACTTGTTGTAAGATATGCAAAGTTTGAATTAAAATCAATTGTTCAATTATTAGTTATTGAATTTTGAATGTGTTGTAGGATTATTAAGATTTGTATAAGATTTAGAGATTGATTAAATATTGATTAGGATTAATTTAGGATCTAAGATTTGATTAGATTTAGGATTTCATCTAAATTTTATTAAGATTTTATCAAGATTTAATTAGGATTTGACTAAGATTTGATTAAGATTTGAATAGGATTTGATTAAAATTTTACTAGGATTTGATCAAGTTTTCAATTAGATTTCATTAGATTTGACTTAGGATTTGATCAAATTCATTAAATTTTTAATTAGGATTTTAATTAGAATTTGACTTAAACTTTGGCTAAGATTCAATAGGATTCAATTAAGATTTCAATTAAAATTTGATCTAAAATTTATTTAGGATTTATTTAGAATTTTTATTTTTAATATTTATTAAAGATTTTCTTTTATTTCTTTAATTTCTTTATTTCTAATATTTTTTTAAATTATTATTATTTATTTAAAATATTATTTTTATATATTTTTTTAAAGATATTTTTTATTTTTCTTCGAAATTAATTTAAGACTTCTTTGTGTTTCTTTTAAATTTATTTTGAAGTGATTAAAATTTGATTAAGATTATTAAGATTTATATTAAAGTTTATTTAAGAATCTTGGTAGGATTGTTGTTGTATTTCTACTTACCTTCTATAGATAGGTACTCAATACATTCTCAAGCAAGAACTTACATAATATAATAGTGGTTTCTATTGCCATTGGAGATGGCAACAAAAATATATATATAATTGTGATGTGGGAATTAAGAAGTTTTATGATTGATAGTAGTATCAATATTATCTTGCAGCAAGTATCAATAATAAATGGTTTGTCAATACCATGGATTTGTCACAAAATAATACATAGTCTCACTAGAACATCCTTTATGGAAGAAAAAGTATAATTGAGTAGAAAAAATAAAATTGACATAAGGATGGATGGTCTTACGATAGCCTTCACATTTTAACTGCTCAAAAATATAATGCCTTGTTTAAATGCAGTTTAGGTGGAGTTCAAAACTCAAGCTCTTGCATCATGTTTTCTACTCTTTTTAGTATGAAAGAACAAAAGACACAACTTATGGCATTATGCCTAAACATATTTCAGATACTACAAAGAAATATCATATGTTTATATCCTCTTGTATTGGTGGTGATCCAGATGGAGGTGGCCTCAACTTGATTCTATTGTAATTTATTTCAAAAGATTGTTATCTAAATGGAGAGATCTTAGAGGGATATGTTTTGGTCAAAATCCTCATAATTATAGTGATTATTTAAACAATTGTAGTCCAATAAATGTATATGAGTTGTTATAGGCACAATAATGTCTATGTGTTTAGGTTTGACCTATTGAGATGCGATTAGCTTAGAGTAATGATATAATATAGTTTTATTAGAAGCAAATGTCTTAATTCTTGCTTTGCACACTAAATCTAGTGGCAAAGAACATATGCAATGTTGTGAAGTTCCATGACACATGAACTCAACTTCATCACTTATGGCAAATTTAAAATGAGTTGTGAATCACACAAAATATAAATCTAAATTCTCTCGATGATAGTATTTTGTATTGTTGAAGTAGTTCCAAGTAAGTTTGCATTGGTTAGTTGAATAAGGTTTCACCTAATTACTATATCTTAGCTTAAATAAGTGGGATAGAGTGGTTGAAATAAGATTTAAATAGATCTTGTTCATCTGCAATGAAAGATATGTAAAATCACAAGATGCAATATAAATTGGGCCTATTATATCTATTTGTGATGGTTGTAAAGTCTTCAAGTAACAGCTATGTAGTCGTCTCTTGGGAAGAATTTTGTAAATGAAAGGAGAAGAGTTTGCTGAGATTAATATGATATTTGGATGGAGGCCTTATGTGGGTGGTTGTAGCTGTCACAAGTAGAAGTATAGATGGTAGGAGGCTATTAACAATGATCTTAATAGATCAGACTATTTTCAATACTTGATCTTCTAGTAGGAACTTGGCGATTTAATATAGCGTCATTGCCAAGAAATATTTGCAAAGTGTAGATAGGAGATCTTGGGAAGTAGTAATTGATAGTATTTGTTATAGCCAAAGATACTTAGCCCTACATTTGACCTGCTTCCAATTTTTTGGTGGCCATGATTAAAGTGAATCCTTTGACGATTGCAAATGCCAAAATGCTTGGATTTGCCATTCTTACCAACGCCCTTAACTCAACAAGTTTCTTAGTTTTGGGAGGAATAGACATGGTGAGTGAGATTAATTATCATACTAAATTGCTTCCAATGCAAGCTTGATAGGTGGAGCATTCCATTAATTCCAAGATAATGTAACATCCACCAAATGATAATTTTTTGTGAACATTGCCAAACCCTATTCCGTAAAGCTCTTTTTAGTACATTGCCAAGTTGTGATATAGAGGTAAGTATGTTCTTTTTTGAAAGATAAGAAGTTGTCCTATAATACAAAGGAACTACAATCCTTATATCCTCTATTCCAATTGTTAGAGCATACAAGATTAATCATGCCTAAGATAATATGGATATTGTTCTTTTGAATGTGAAAGTTAGCTAATTATCTAGTAAAATCCACTTCTTCGAATGTAAAAATGTGGCCAAACAAATCTCTTGAAGTGATGAAGTTTAGTGGAGCTAATGCAAGTCATAACACAACTTGTTGCCAAGTAGATATAGAATGATCTTGATGAAAGATGGGCACCGATGTTGGAGGCGAGTAGAAATTTTGGTGTAATTTTGGCTGGGTCTAAGAATGAAGTGACTAACAAATTGATGTTTTAGTTGCAAGCAGAGTTTTCGGAGAGAGATTCTTGGACTAGACTTGCCTAGTTGAGCGGAAGCATACTACTCACATTGCAGTGATCTCCAAGGATTTGCAAGTGTTGTAAGGTGGTTGATGAATCTTCCCTCCGTTGTCTCCCAGGGCTGCTACTGCGAGTCTCAAGTGCTCAAACTAGATGAGAGTTGTATGTGGCTCATTAGTGGCGAGTGGTGGTCTCTGTAATCAATGTCACTTGTTCCGAAAAACTAAATCTCAAGTACCAACTATTCTTCAGACCCTTACAATCTCTTGAACGTCTCCCACACGTGTTGACTTAGAGTTTTCCTAGCCACCATTGCAGCAACTCGTATTGACAAGATCTCCGCCTTCCCATGACATGTCTGAGTTCCTATGTCTTCGGGTTCAAGTGAGGTTATCTGACATCTCTACCAAAAGCCTGGCTAGTCGTGATTCCTGTGTTGGCCAATAAAATAAGATTGGGCAAGCACGACCTAGCAAAATTCAAAAGGCCAGGTTCCCACCGCTAACAGACACAACACTCAAGGTATACAACTCGGTGATGAGGCCAAAGATATACTCAAATGTAAATCATCCTACAACCATGAGTACGTATAGTGAAAAAATACTTACACCTCAAAACATGCCCAGCAATTGTAGCCAACTGCGTTTTATATTAATGAAGGTGTGAGGGAAGTTCTACAAGTTCTACCGCGGCATAGAGAGACATTGTGTGCATCTTCTCCCCAAACTGACAATCCAGAAAAGTTTTACGATGCTTTAATACAGTATGTCTACTGAAGCAGCTACAGAATATAAGTCATTGCTAGGCATATTTCACAAAACAAGTGAGTTCCAACACTTGCAGAATACAAATTTCTTTGTCCGTCTGCAAACTGACTGTTGCCTCGCATTCTTTGTACTGTTTAAGTTCAGATCAGAAAGGCATATAATCACGGCATCATATATTGCCACCACACCTGCCTGAAAATACTGCACATGAAATGTTCAACAGGCTTCAGGGATTTCTCAATCACAAAGGTACGACACTCTTCAAGTCGATGAACTTCTCGTCAGTGAAATTCGTTCTTTTTTGAGAGTATTACCAAATTGAAAGAATCTTCAAAATACAAAATTTTAAAAGAAGCTGATACACAAGGGCATTCAATTTCAGGATTCTACTCGGAATAGTGTCAATCCGTCAACATGATGTTACTGATCACTGAGGCGTTCGTCACACTTTTCAAGCGGAATCTGTTCGATTTGTACACTGGCACGATCCTCCTCCATAGCCTACATAAAAAACGAGAAAGAAAAACATCATAAACTGTCTAGGAAACTTTATTGACTAATTGCAATAACACATAAATAATTTGAAGGCAAAATCAGAGTCTAAGATCGAGATGTGCACAGTACCTGAAGTTGAGTGTGTGTAAAATTTGGGATTCCCACTTGACTGACTGCTAAACCTCCAAAATAGTTACCCATTAAAACTGCCTGTTCAACAGGAAGACCCTGGTATAGTCCTGCAGAGAAACCAGCCAAGAAGCTGTCTCCAGCTCCAGTGGGATCCACTTCTATTGCAGGAAACGCAGGTACACGAAACTCCCGGTCTGCAGAGTATATTCTGCTCCCATTCTTCCCCTCCGTCACGATAACACAAGTCTTCTTTCTCACTTTTTCAATGTCAATATACAAAGCTTCGTTACGAGCCGCCTTCAGAAACGAAATGTCTTCAAGCATGTCATAGTAAGGGGTATCCTTTATATTTCGAAGGCCAACCAGGCCAGTTTCTGGATCAATGGTCCTTATAAGCGCCTGAAAAGGTAACCATCAATACAAAATTTTAACTCAAGCTTGCCAAAAGGGAGTAATCAGGGCAAAAGTTAGCCTCTTGACGTAGGAAGTCTCCATTTTACTCACAAAAATCGACAAATGGACATACCTGTATATCAACCACCACGTAACGGGACACAGAGACCATATGCTGTAAGGTTTCAGGCAACACTTCGCCGGCGATCCCCACTGCAAGACCTAATTCATATTGCATGTCAGGTATATCCAATGGTTCAATGGGTGCACATATATTCCCTGCCTTCAGAACCCTCTCATCGCCTTGTGTGAAGTCCGCAAAAAATTCAGTGGTTTGTTGATCTTCAAGAATTTCAGGTGGGTGTGAAATCTGTGAATGGTAGAGAAAGTCTGGTCCAACTTTTGAAGCTACCTGCACGTACATTTGATCATATACTCCGCGATTAGCATTAACAACGACAGTACTTGCAGCATTGTTCAGTTATTCCTCAAGGTATCTGCTCCTACTCATCAAATAGCTACATGTAGAAGCTCAAGACATGCCAATGTTAATAATAATTATAATAATAACAAATCTCAGTTGACTTACTTTGCACTCCATGCCAACGGCTCCAAACACATTGGTGATATAAGAGACAGACCCTCCTAGACTGTACGCGATCTTGCCCCCGTTGAAAATGAGCTCATCATGACAGTAGTGTCCCACGACAAGAGCTGCACATTGATCTCTCTTTCTCAGAGAATGTCGGCGCATATACTTCCCTTGCTTCAGATCTGGGACCTTCTGTTTCTCCTTATGAGCCACCTCATCCACCCAAAGCAGAGCTTCCTGGCACTCACAGATGATCGATATAAGTTCTAAACTACCTGGAAGCACGTGCATTCCTGAACAAAGTTCATGGGTGCAGAATACTATCAAGAACGATGTAACACAGTAACAAGAAAAATCGCATGGGAAGGGACAGAGAAAATCCTGATATGACTAAGCATCTTAAAATATTGCTAATCGTTTCTGATTCCTTTCAATTGATCGCACCCTCTAGCAAAAGATATTTATCTGGGAAACTGATTGCGAATAGAATAGATCCCAGCTTCCAACTCAAAAAGAGGGCATAGGTTATCACTAAAAAGCTTTAAACGCGAAAAATGACTTCTGAAAGTCAGAGTGCACAATTGGCCTAAGCGAACTCATATAAATTGATTTTCTGCAATCCCCTACGAGAAGCTTAGCAATCAACTTTTCGTTAGGCGTTCTTTAATGCATTAATGCTCTATTGGCAAATGCTCCAGAAAATACCGTAAGGCCCTGAACTACGGTCTATCCACTCGATCTGGACCTAGGCTTTACATAAAATACCGAAAATAAATAGGCGGTGATTTGAGAGAGCTTTCTGGTGGCACATGCATCCTAATATTTTTGACTCCCATTTCTTCATCAGTTCACAACGCTCCAGCCAAAGGAAAATTAGATAAAATTGTTAAAAGATTAGAGATTCAGAAAAATAAAAGAAAAAAAGAAGAAGCAAAGGGTTGAACAGAAAAATCTCTCATGCCGTATATTACCGTATGCTTGCCGACACAGGTCACAACTTCAACCATGTGCACAAATTTTCCAGCGATCGCTAAATCGAAATTCAAACCCGCGGAAACTACTTAAGCCTGTCCTCTATGAAGACCTCTGCGAAACATTCCTAACCAAAAAATTGAAGCAATTTTCCTACTCCGTGGCACAGATGGACTCCAACATTCATCTGCACAATTGTCACTATTTCGAACTCCAAATTCGAACGACAGCCACTGATGATATTGTCCGCCATTCCCAAAATGAATTTCAGTCTTGAGGTTCCCAAGCTTGCAGAATGACGAACACCTCTCCGAACAGACAATGATGAGATTAAAGAATATAATCTATGAAAGCATGAACGCTGAGAAATATTTTCGTAAAAAAACTTGGAGCAATTTAAGAATGCGGGTTTAAATTTACTTGATCTGTTACCTTTTTAACACATTGTTAACGCATCATCTCATAACGACAACTAATTGAACCTCACGATTATCACACAAAGTTTCATCCTCTTATTGTGCATTAATACTTTGGTAGATCGAATTTAGAATTCACTCTACATTTCTTGAAACCTCTCCTCTCGGCTGTAGACCTGGGCCGAGAATTTAAAAGGTGCAGGAGAAACAAAACCTAAATTATCGTGTACGCTGCCCAAGAGGTAAGTCAGTGCAAACAATCAAAACAATGTTGAGAACGAACACCTGAGGATCACATATAGTGGCATATAATCGTTCCTAGCAAAAAAAATCTAAGTTATCACAAGAAGTTTGAAACCCCACTGGTATATTTGTCCAATTTTCTGTAGATTCCACCTTCGCTGTGTCTTCAAACTGGATGCTTCCCAAAACGAAAAATTCTTTCACACTGACAAACTATAACCGAATCTTCCATAAGGACATGGCAGGCATTAAAGCATACTACGCTCCTACATTCATTTTCGCGAGCAATAGCATAAATTTCCCCAACATACACCGAGCATAGTAGCCACAAACAGCCCCCCCAAAAAACGGAACAATGCGGGGACGCAGGGATCAGGAGAAGCCAATCTACCTCCTTGGTAGCGGGATCCGGGGCGAATGGCGACGCTAACGGGCTATACAAAGGTGGATGGGTACAATTGACCGTCCCGGATAGACTCAACCGCGACACATCCACTTGCAATCGCCTGTTCCGAGACGAGAGGGATCGCAAAGCCGACCTAGGACTCGTGGGTGGCTTCATAGCCAAAAACCGTTCTTCTGTGTGGTTCGAATCCTGCCCATGCTCACCGTCGCCACCCATCACTGCAAATCCTCCTCTAAATTCGCAACCACCCGTCGCTAAAAACACGAGCCCAACCCCCAAAAACCCTCTCTGGTGAACCCAACTCGCAAAATTCACAGCGAAACAAGGCCAATCCTTTGCACGGCGAGCATTCTACGGCAGCACTCCAAAACGCACGCCCCACCCTACCGTCCGCCTGAAAACAGAGATAGAGCTGACCCAAGTTTATAAGAACGAATTGTTGTGCAGCCGAACGTGGAAATCGGGAGATGCTACAAACAAACGACCCAATTGACAAAATCTGTTAACGGAATAAACATATGCATCCGTCCATAGGTGGGCTCAAACAACGGCTCCGGAGTGGCACGACCGAGTATGATTAGCACGAGGATGTGAAGCGTGTGATATTCTCCTCGCTTTTGACCCGCTTGCTTCTATATTTATAGCTACAGTTTTTCGGCACTATTTCAAAGAGTTGTTTAGTGAAGGAATCGCGTGCTGCTGTGTCCCTCTTGTGCCGAGGGAGCGGGGTCTGGCTCCTCGGGATCGACGCCGTGGGTGCTTTACCAACTCAACCTCTGTTCTCGTCTCGGTCGCACAGCTCGCCCTTCCTCATCATCTCGCCATTCTCACCCTCCTCCTCACTTGCCAACACCCGCACCCACGCCGTGTTGGCAACACACTCACTTGCCAACCTCGCCTTTGTTGGCATTTGTGCTTTTCATATCTTTGTGAGGGTTTCCTCTTGCTTGTTGTCAGTAAATATATGTTAAATAGACCCATGATGGTGGTTAAGATGAGTGGATCAAAATTTGGGTCCATTTAACATTTCTCTATAAATATTAAATATGTAGAAATTCAAATATATATATATATATATATATATACACACACATAATTCACATAGATTTTTAGTTGTTTGGGCAACAATCCAAATAAGAAATTAAGTTAGATAAATATAAAGTTAGAATTAAAACCATCCACTTTATTGTTGACTAGGATAGTTGTAGTTTCATTGATAAAAACACTTAACATACTTTAATATTTGTATAGTTTATTTATTAAGTATTATTATTTAAAGATTAAAATTTAAATACTTAGATTTATCGGTTTAATATAATTACTAATATTAAAATATTAAAAATCTAAAAAAATTATTCAATGCACAATATTTTTTTATTAAATATAGTGATTTTAATTCAAAACATAGAATTATTTTTTATTATTTTTGTTGTTTTATTTTTAAAGAAATTTATCTATAAGAAGAACTTTCAACATGTTTTGATTTACATATTTTAAATAACTTAGTTAAAGTTTATAGATTACAGTTTTTTTAAAAAAAATTAAGATATATATTAAATTGATTCATCTAAATCTTATATCAATCCACCGTAATGACACCACAAATACTTGAAGATTTAAACATCTAAGGCATAGAAGAGTGTTAGTATATTGCATGTAAGTAATGATCTTAGTTTTTTCTTTGTAAATTATAAATGGTTCTTTGGCAAGAAATGGTGGATGTATGCTAATACCAATCAATAGATTGGATTTATTGGAAATGTGAATCAATAGAAGATTACATTGCTTCATTGACCCTACAATTGAAACATGTTCCATGACTTGTAATAACCTTTAAGAAATCTCTCAATTTGTCAAAATAATAGATATATTTATGAAACAATATAGGTGGATTAATTTAATACTCTTTTATAATTATAACATATATAATATATAAACAAAAAAATATTAATTTTCTACTTTTATTTATGCTTTTACTTATATTATAAATGAATTATTTAGCTTAATATACCAGAATATAATAAAGACCTATATTACGTTTTAAGCTAAGAAGTATCTAACAGATATTAAAATTATAATATATGATATGAAAAATATCTTATAAATTTAATAAATCATGTTGTAATGTTAAAATAAAGAGATTTATTACATGATCAAGCTAAAAACTCTTGACATTGAGTATTAATTTAGAACTAGTATTGATGTTGATCCACCATATATATATATATATATATATATATATATATTGTTTAAATTTTCTATTCAAAATTTGATAACACAATTAGTCCAATTCTTAAGTCAATATTGTTTAATTAAATATTTTAAAGATGTAGTATTAAAAATCATCTCTTTTTAAATGAAATGTAGAAATAAAAATTACCTATCTTAGAAGTGTAAAAAGATATATATTAAATTTATGAAATATTATGCTACTTCTAAATAATATTAAATATAAATAAATAAAATAAAAATATGATAATAAATGATTACAATAATATTTTAGAATCTAAAAAATAAGATTATATTTGTAAAAATTCTTTTCTTTATTATTTTTATATTAAAATATATAAATTTTTGTATATATATAAGAAAATATTAAATTCATCTTGGCTTTTATTAAATAAATCCACCAAATAAAACCATCATTATACCTCTCTTCTTCCATATCCTCTTCTCCCCCATCTTTATTTTCAATACTCATTTCCCTTTCTTCTTGTCTTTGTCACATGTTTCTCTTATCTTTCCTCCCTATTCTCATTCCTTGTCTCATGTCCCAAGTAATTGCCATTATTGTCCTCTTGTCTATTCTATTTTTATTTTGTTGAAATAAATTTGTTCTTGTCTATTATCTAAAAATGTTCCCTTTTGAGCTCCATCAACAACTATGGCTTCACAAAATCTCTCCAAGCACATGAAAGAGACAAAAATCTACTATTCTACAACTTTGATGAAAATAGATAGACATTACTGCATAGTTTATCACTACAACATCGACCATTATCTACTTTAATTGCAAATTACGATAATGCCTTTCATCTCCTCTCTACTTTTTGCATTCAACTTCAAAAGTCCATGAGATCTTTGATCCAAAAAAACCACAATTTAAAAAAATGATAGTCTAAAAATTAATATATGAATATAATAATACATATTCAATTTAGTTGGGTTCATGTCTACACTCTAATTCCCATTTATGGAACCCAAACTATAATATTTTTGGCATTCAAGAAAAAAAAAGTAGAAAATAGGTTGTTCCTTAAGATTTGAAAGATGCATTACAAGAACACAAAACAACCAAAGCCAACATGACATAGTATAATTACTAATTCTATTTTTTCATACATCTAATTTAAAAAGAGCTTTGCAATACAACAAGCATTGTCAAAAGAATCAAGATCCTAATCATGTTTCAAAATGTATTTTTGTTGATTTGTGTGGTTGTCATTGGTTCACATGTAGCAAGAAGTAGAGCTTCCAATACTAAATTCAAGCACAATGCAAACAAACTTATTAATCATTTTGACCACACCCTACTTTGAGCTAAAGTCTCTGATGTGCTTGATCAATATTCTCAAAATGTTAGAAACAAAGTTGGTGATATGACAACGTTGGAGTTCATAGGCTTCAACAAAGATTGGTTGTAATAGATCTATATAGGACTACGGATGTCATGGACATACATTGGAAGATTCTTCGAATATTCTTCTAGAATATTCTCTAAAGATTCTCTAAAGATTCTTTTAGAAGGTTCTAAAAGATTCTTAGAATATTCCCTAAAGATTCTCTTAGAAGGTTCTAGAATATTCTTAGAAGGTTCTAGAATATTTTGATAGATTCTAGGAAGTTGCTCGAGAAGTTTCCTAATTAGTAGAAGTTGTTGGAGAAGCGTCCTAGTTAGCGGAAGTAGCTCGAGAAGCTTCCTATTCAGTAGTATATATAGGAGTCAAGGCTGAAGGGTTCTTCAGTCTCGACAACACATCTCTTGGAGTTCTAGCTCACCTTTCTGGTGTTGTTCTTGTACTCATCTGTTTAATCTAGTTCTGCCACTTCTTCTTGAACTTCTTGTTAGATTTCAAGTCTGTATTTTGTGTCCGTGACAACGGACTACTAGAATAGAAGATGAGAATAAGATGGAGAGAAGGAAGGAATGGAGGAGAAGGATGGGTGCATGGAACAAAAATGGGATGGGAGAGGGGAGGGGGGAGGGGATTGAGAATAAAGATGGGAAATAGGAATGGAAGATGAGAGGATATAATGATGGTTTTGTTAGGTGGGTTGATTTAGCAAAAGCTGGGATCAAGTTAATATTTATATATATATATTAAAGATAATAAATATTTATTTTAAAATATAATATTATTAAAAATATTATATAAAAAGTATAGATTAAATATTAAACAAATATAGATGGTTATTTTTTGCTTCATATTTATAGTCATAGTTTTTAAGATGATGTATATTAAAAAAGATTTTGTACTAGAAATATTATCTAAAATGCTTTTTGCAATGCAAATTTTTTCTTGCAATTGGAAAGGACTTAGCATTTTAGAAATCTAGTATTAAAATTAGGTTTATATAAAATAAGAACTATAAAACTCATTATTATTTTTTATTTATCTTATTAATTACTAATGTTATTTGATAACCTTAAAAAATCTAAGAAATAATAAACTATTTTAATGATAATATATATATATATATATATATATATATATAAATTTGACATAATTTTTCCAACAACAAAAACAAAGATTATATAACATCATGTAATAACAATCATTCTTATAAAAATCTAGTGCAAGATAAAAGATCTATTTAAAAAAATAACATATAGCCATGTACAACCAAATGTTATTGATAAGACAAATTGACAAAATAAAAGAATCAAATGTAAACAAAATTGGTTTTATTTCATTAATGATATTTTTTACTTTCAAAATTATATTAAGCAGTAATATTACGATTCAACTTTTAAAATAAGTATTCTTTTTAAAATTAAACTTTGACTCTTTATTTATTTATTGAATTAATTTTTTTAATAGGATTTTCAAAAATTAAAATTATATGCTTTAAAATTACAACTTTTGAGGTATTTTTTGAATATATTTTACATGTTTATTTAAATATATAAACATGTAATAAATGTAATCCATATATAAGAACTAAAAAGTGTTCAAATCATGTAAAATATTATGCTGAAATTGCAAGAACAATAAAAATAGTATACATATATCTATTTGTTTATAATATATAACTATTCTACTTGTTATTAAAAAACTAGATTTATGGAATTTTGAATCATTGATTTACTAGGCTAAAAAATCGCATTTAAATTCCTTAATTTTATTGTTAAAATGTTGTGAAAATTTATTTGTGAATTTTTTTTCTTATGTTAATAGACTTATGGCGCCACATTTACTAGCAAATCAAATGCAATTCAGGCTTCTGTTTCACAATGTGAAAAAGAAGATCATTCATTCTGTTACAGAAGGTAGACAACCTTCTGATGCAACCAAACTCTTTGTTTGAGATTACCATTTCTTCTTCAGCGGATTCTCATCTCCAGCTTGATATTTATTTTCCAAGACTGGGTGCCTCCAAATATTCTCATCTGCAGCAACTCTGCTAAAACAAAACT